TCAATTCTTCAGCACTCAGCTTTCTTTATAGTCCAACTCTCACATCCATACATGACCACTGGAAAAACCATAGCCTTGACTAGGCAGATCTTTGTTGGCAAAGTAATGTCTCTGCTTTTTAAATGCTGTCTAGGTGGGTCATAACTTTCCTTTAGAGGAGTAAGTGTCTTTTAATTTCATGGCTGCAATCACCATCTGCAGTGATTTTGAAAAGAAAATAAAGTTAGCCATTGTTTCCATTGTTTCCCCATCTATTTCCCATGAACTGATGGAACCAGATGCCATGATCTGTTTTCTGAATGTTGAGCTTTAAGCCAACACTTTTTCACTCTCCTCTTTCACTTTCATCAAGAGGCTCTTTAGTTCTTCTTCACTTTCTGCCATAAGGGTGGTGTCATCTGCATATCTGAATTTATTGATATTTCTCCCGGCAATCTTGATTCCAGCTTGTGCTTCCTCCAGCCCAGCATTTCTCATGATGTATTCTGCATATAAGTTAAATAAGTAGTTACAGCTCAGTTTTATTTGGCAAACAAAGGAAAATACATCCTCTAGGTGTGAGGGCTCAATTTTGTCTCCTCTTTTTATATGTTTTTTTCTCCTCCCTCTGAGCCTGCCCTATGTAAATTGGGCTAGCCAGGAAGGCTGTTTGTTTTACCTGAGGTTCTCACTCTGTTCCTTGGACCTCCCTTTGTTCTATTTCATGGGCTTTTCCTTTCTTTGATTTTTAGCCACTGCCATTCTGGACTCCTTTTTCCTATTCTAACTAGCTAACAGGTGGAATCTAGGAAACACTCCCTACAGGGTTACATAATAATGTGGCATATGAATCCCTGTAGGTGGATCAATATGTAACTATAAACCTTGAAGACTGAATGGAAGAAAAAATTTGAGTTATAATGGAGAAGATGTAGCAGTAGGTTGCCTGATGAAATGTAGGGTACAATTATCACCTTTTTTTTTTTTTTTGCTATAAATGGAAAACCAATGAACAGAATAGATGAGTGTGTGTGTGTGTTTTTTTTTTTTTTTAGAGTGTGAGTTTTGATGGGATTAAAGCATTAGGCATATCATGGCAGATCAAATTACCCTGAGGCCCCACCCTGAGATGAGAGAGGCTATGAAAGTCCTTATGGCATACTCAGGGGAAATCACATCAAAATGTGACTACTACTGTCTCTTCCTACTATGTGGGTCCCCATTATTGAGTACAAAACACGTATTCTGACTGCACTCAGGTAATTAGTACATAGTGGGAACTGTAATAGTCCACATGAACCATTTGGTGATGACACTGCTTGTAGACACTAATCCTTAAGCTGCTATAGTGATGGCTCTGTTCCTGGACGGTCATGGTCAGCGGTTATCTTGGTCAAAAGCTGTTCCTTACTGACAGGAGCAGTGATAGTTCAGGAAACCTAACCTGTTTAACCAATGTGATGATGGCTTGATTCAGTAATCCTTTATTTGCTGGAGCATAGCTGGTAACTCTGTCACAGGTTTCACATATCTCCACTTCCTCTTCCTCCTCATCCTCCTATTCTTCCTCCTTTTCCATTTATCAAACCACATTCTTGAAAAGCATCCTGATAATTTGGCCAAGACATGGAAGGGAGATCTACCAATATTACTTTAGATGTTTAATTGGCAACAATTAGTCAGCCCTCCTGACCACAGGAAGACTTTGAAAAGACATGAAAGGACTATTCAGTAAATGTATTGACAACATGTCAGTGTACCAATGTTGGAGAGTTAAGAGGTATACACTGGGGAGCAAGCTGAGGTGTCTGAACAATTGAAGGAGAAGACAGAGAATAAACATTAACATAATTTTTTAAATTATTGTCTTATAGAAGCCTAAAACATCTTGGGAAAGAGTGAAAGAAAGCAAATGTATCAGATCAGCCCTAAGTTCATAATTACCCTAGATTTCAGACCTTTAGTGTTCTGATTCTCTCTCCCCTTACAAACTTGCTTTCAATCATTTGTATGTGATGGTGTGAGTCTTACACAGTATCTTACATTTATTATTGTTTCACACAATTTAAACCTGAAATTTAATTGGAATACAAAGATTTATTTCCTGATAAAGAATTTTAAGCACTTCATAGCAGTCTAAGGAAGCATAGGGGTGAGGAATAGAGGGTTCCTGAGTTCATTAAAAATGTGTTTCCACATTCTACAGTAATATAAACCTAGTATTATAACTTATTTCTAAACTAAACAGGAACCCTCAAAAGCCAAGGCTCACCATAAAGAGCCTGAGTGCCCAAGGGGACATCACAGAAAAGAGGACTGTTCAACTCTGGGAAAGAACAGGGGACTATAGAAGCAAAGCCTTATTGAGGGCTAAATCTATAAATCAATGAAAGGCAGAAACAAGATCTTTGGTCAGGGTTGGAAAACATACTAGGGCACTGTTCACAGAATGTTAGTTATTCCCTAAAGGCTCATTATATTGGTCAAAATTATAGATCACATGAATCTTGTAATATTAATAGTTTTGCTTTAACTTCAATTCATACTAACTTCTTGAATTTCTAATTTAATTGGCCACAGAAAATCATGTACATGAAATTACAGATGAAATTGTATATCACAATGCATATATTATATATATATATAAATATATATATATATATAATAAAGAAAGAGTGAGAGACACACAGAGAGACAGAGAAAGAGAGAGAAATAACTGAAGTTGGAAAATTCAAACTCTACAGAGCCAGAATCCTGCTGAAGGCCAACAGGCAGGGGAATTATCTCTTACCAGGAGAGGGTGAGTCTTGTTCTATTCAGGTCTTCAATGCACTGCTGAGAACTACCCACCTTATAGAAGGCAACCTCTTTTATCCAGGCCACTTATTTAAACATTGCATGTGCCTGCTAAGTCACTTCAGCTGTGTCCAACTCTGTGCCGCACTGTGGACTGTAGCCTGCCAGGCTCTGCTTATCTCATCCACAAACAGCCTTAGAGAAACGCACAGGATAGTGTTTAACCAAATATGTGGGCACCCTGTGCCAGTCAAATTCACCCATAAATGAACTGTCAATCCTTCCAGCACACTGACAAATTTCATGAAGAAAGCAGAGCAGGAAATAGGATCATTTGATTTATATTCCACTGTGACTGATATGGAAAATCTTTTAACATTTTAAAATGGATTTTTAAATGAATTGAAAGTATATTAAAATTATTATTAAGATGTTATGCATAAATGGCAATTAACTACACTGAATGAATTATTAATAAAGTTATTTCAACTTTCATATATAATTAGATGCTTGATTGCCCTTGCTTTCTAGATTAGGTTTTCCAATCATTTCCAAGGGGCAGGAAGCCAGAAATTTTGAACAATTCTCTTAAGTTTTATTCAGAAGTGGAAGGAATAAAGAGGGGCCACTTGGGAGAAATTATGTAGGAGCAGGTGGTATGTCAAGTTGGGGAGTTATGATCAAAAAACTTGCTTTCAGTTGTAGATCTAGGGCCTAAGCTACTGGAACATCTGAATTGCTATAGGTGATGTTACACTCGTATTGAGTTCTCTGTGATCCAAGGTAAAACAGACTTATAAGGGTCAGAGGAATTTGCTTGATGACCTGTTTTTTATGGGGCGTGGCAGTGAAAGGAAGATTCTACAGTTTACCACTTCACTGAACACATCTAAATATCATGACGGGAAGGTTACTGAGGTGATCTACAACCCACCCTCAGTGCATTTTATAAGAAGAAAGGAGACTTAGATTAGCAGGCCATGGATCAAGGGGGAAACCATTATAAGAAGAACTTGAGGTAAAGAGAAAGCTGTCACCAGGCATCCAGGCCCTTTTCAACTCAGTATGTACGACAAAATGGCAACCAGTTCAAGTGGAACAAGATAGGAAGTTTTATAACTCAAGGAAGGTGAAGGACAGAAAAGAGCCATCTTCCTCAAACAAGAAGGGGAGCCTTTGAGCACAAGTTAGAGAACCTGATAAATCCTCCCACTGCTGAAAATCCCTGAGAGTTAAGGCAGAGGCTCTGTGAGTCATGAGAACATAAGCCAGTGAGGAGATCCTGGAGCAGGATGCTTCCTCTTCTCAGAGTCCCTGTCAAGCCACTTACGGATGGATTTGCATTTGCTTGGGAAATGACTGAACCAGGCCAGTTTTGGCAGCTTCACTTCCCCTGGGTGGGGCAGTAAGCCCCAATAAAAAGGCCTTCTGCTGCACCACCACCATCCTCCTGCTAAAGTCCCGACTGATTTTGGAGAAACTGGTGAGTCTGATCCTTCAGTTCTACTTTGTTCTGGGGCTCCCAATGTTGAATTTATGCTGGAGAGAACAAATACGCTGTGTCCAAAGTTATGATCATGTATTTAATGCTACTTTGTTGATGGTTGATGGGAACTTGAAATTTAAACTGAATGATACATGATATTTATTAAGTTTCTGGTACAGAGTTCAAATTCTCTTATTGAAATATAAAATAAATATGAAGTTTTTGACATGAAGAAGTAAGGACAAAAGTACTTTTCCTTTTTCTGTATATTTTGGTATCCCTCCACCCTGGTACAGACCCATTTATCTTAGAAGGTGTATGGGCCTTGTATCCTTCCTGGTGACCCTTTGCTCTGTACAAAAGTCATCCTGTTCGGACTTCATGAGAGATAATGATGATGGAAATTGCTTGTGAGCTTACACAGAATTTCAGAACTTATGATGGATTTTCTTCAAGATGCTATATTCATAAAATCAAAGTAACAACTTAAAATACTGCTTGTTTCAAACAAAAAAAAATTTTGGAATAATTGTATGAGAGAAAGTTTTCTTCTAATTAAAAACTCTCTTAATGAGGGAGAAGTAAGAAATTTGTTGAAAGGAGTAGAAGAAATAAAGCACATTAGAGACTAGAGAGATTCTCTCTGATGGTATTACATAAGCTCACTTATCTCCCTGTAGCAGTTCCTTCTTGTGAACACTGTCATGTAATTTCTTTCAGATTCTAAGACTCCAGAAAGATGTCTTATCAGCAGCAGCAGTGCAAGCAGCCCTGCCAGCCACCTCCAGTAGTGTGCACTCCCAAGTGCCCTGAGCCTTGTCCACCTCCAAAATGTCCTGAGCCTTGTCCACCTCCAAAGTGTCCTGAGCCTTGCCCACCTCCAAAGTGTCCTGAGCCTTGCCCACCTCCAAAGTGCCCTGAGCCATGCCCACCTCCTCAGTACCAGCAGAAATGCCCTCCTGTGCCACCTCCCCAACAATGCCAGCAGAAGTGCCCACCCAAAAGCAAGTAGAAGCATCAGCTTGTATCTGGATCAGGAAAGGATGAGGACAACTGACTCACCTGGCTCCACAGCTCCACCTTCATCTTCCCTTTAAAGCCTATCATGGATATAGAAGAAGCTTCTCCATCCTTCAGCCTGCACTATGCCTGTGGTGATACCTGACAGCCAGAGGTTTCCTTCCTGACGCTGCTGTTCTGCTCTCCTCTGGGAGGACAGCTGGGAAAGCACCACGGAGCTTCAGATGGAAGAGCAGCAGCTTTTCTCCCGGGCACCATCAGAGGATTCTCTCCCTCCCTTGGGTCTGTCTGTCACCTGGGCAGGGGTTTCTACCAGCTGGCCAACTGTAGCTTACCCTCCTCCTCACCAATAAACTACAGTTCCTTTGTGTGATGGCAAAAATGTTTTCTTTCTTTTTAAAACTGCTTTTAATAATACCATATCATCATCTTGTTTTGTTTCTATCCTTTGATGACAAGGATCAAACTCTCACAATCAGCACTGTCTAAATTTTGAGTCTTATCAAAGAATCAGTTCAGTTCAGTTCAGTTGTTCAGTCGTGTCCGACTCTTGGCAACCCCATGAATCGCAGCACACCAGGCCTCCCTGAGCATCACAAACTCCCGGAGTTTACTCAAACACATCTCCATCGAGTCGGTGATGCCATCCAGATATCTCATCCTCTTTTGTCCCCTTCTCTTCCTGCCCCTAATCCCTCCCAGGATTAGGGACTTTTCCAATGAGTCAACTCTTCGCATGAGGTGGCCAAAGTATTGGAGTTTCAGCTTCAGTATCAGTCCTTCCAATGAACACCCAGTACTGATCTGCTTTAGGATGGACTGGTTGGATCTCCTTGCAGTCCAAGGGACTCTCAAGAGTCTTCTCCAACACCACAGTTCAAAAGCATCAATTCTTCATGCTCAGCTTTCTTCACAGTCCAACACTCACATCCATACATGACCACTGGAAAAACCATAGCCTTGACTAGGCAGACCTTTGTTGGCAAAGTAGCGTCTCTGCTTTTTAATATGCTATCTTTTTAATATATAAGTTGGTCATAACTTCACTTCTACACAATTTCAATTCCATGTTATTTGCTTAATTATCACTTGACTGTTTGAGGAACAAAACATTTACCTCTCTAGGTTTTCAGTCCCTTTAGTAAAATGTAGGGAAAATTTTTTTTCACTTCAAACTTTTGAGGAATCAATATTCAATGAATGTGTATAATTTAGTTGGAACACGCCAGACTCATAAACAGCACTTAGAAGATAGCAGGTCATCAGTGTCTCCATCATCACCACCATCACCACCCCTGTTACCCTCACCACCATATTTGCAGCTGACTCATCTAGCTCCACAGCTCCACCTTCATCTCTCTTCAAAGCCTATCATGGATATAGAAGAAGCTTCTCCATCCTTAAGCCTGCAGTATGCCTGTGGGGACTCCTGACAGCCAGAGGCTTCCTTCCTGAGGCAGCTACACCACTTGCCTCTGGGAAGACAGCTGAGAAAACTCAGCACTTCAGAGGGAAGAGCAGCAGCTCTCCTCCGGGGCACCATCAGAAGATTCTCTCCCTGTCTTCTGTGCCTGTCTGTCACCTGTGCAGGGCTTTCTACCAACTGGACAATTGTTACTTCTTCTCCACTTCCTGAATAAACTACAATTCTCTTTTGTGATGGTAACAATGTTTGTTTGTTTGTTTTCTATTAAAACCACGTACAACAATAGCATATTGTATTTGGGTTTATTGCTAATCCTTCTTTGATCCTAAAGTTCTAGCTCCCACAATCAGTGTTGTCTGAATTTTGAGTAATATCAGAGATCCTTTCTGATCTTCCCTGATGGGTCAGTGGTAAAGAATCCACCTGCCAATGCAGGAGACATGGGTTTGATTCCTACTCCGGGAAGATCCCACATTTCGTGGAGCAACTAAGCCCATGTGACACAACTATCGAGCCTGTGCTCTAGAGCCCAGAAACCGCAACTCCTGTGCCCACAAGCTGCAACTCCTGAAGTCCAAGCACCCTAGAGCCTGTGCTCCACAACAAGAGAAGTCAGTTCAGTGTGAAGTCCGCACACCACAATTGGATAGCAGCCCGACTCATGGCCACAAGAGCAAAGCCCATGTACCAGTGAAGACCCAGCACTGCCAAAATAAATTAATAAATAAATAAATACACTGTTTAAAAAAGAAAGAAAGCTTTTTTTAAAAAAAAGATTATTGGTCTATAATTTAAATTCCATGTTAATTACTGCTTGGCTAATTTGAGTAAAAAGTTATTTAACTCCTCAGAATTAAAGTCCCTTTACTGAAATGGTGAAAACAGTGTTACACTGCAAAATACCTGAGGCATAAAAATTACATGATTGTGTGTACTTTATTTTGTACATGTTGGGGCACATAAATGGCACTGGGAAGACAGCAGATCATCATTGTCTCCATCACCACCATCACCATCATCGCCTTACCACCACGCTTGCTCCAGCAGGGAGGTGACACAGACGTAACTAGCAGAGCAACCAGGAAGATTCTTATACTCCATTGCCCCTTTATATTCTTTGTGCTTTTTCTTTCCTAATTTAACCTCATGTTTAATGTGATACTGAAGATAAAGGACCTATAGAATGTAGTGGAACATTCTGCATGAAATTATAGTAGCTCTGAAAACATGGGTAGTACAGAAGGATGGGAAACTTAAAGCATTCTTACCAGGTAGAGTTTTGGCACCTTTCCATGTGTGCTACTCGCTCTTCTTACTCAAACAATTCATTAAACTCAGAGCCTTAAATATTTTTTCACATCTGAAATTACTTCTTTGTTTTGACACCAACTTTGAAGAACATTGAGGTTTACAACGTTTATTTAGGTTTACAAAGTCACTGTACCTAGGCAACTTTTTTCTAATGTTTAGCTTACTAGTCAAGTAAGCTGTGAAAAAGGATATGTGCTTAACCAAACTATTCTTTATTTTACCCTTTTTTGTATATTGGAGTATAGCTGGTTAACAATGTGCTAATGACCTAATTTCAATCATTTTTATAGCTGAGTAATATCTGTATGTAGGTCAAAAAGCAACAGTTAGAACCAGACATGGAAAAACAGACAGGTTCCAAATTGGGAAAGGAGTATGTCAAGGCTGTATAGTGCTTATTTAACTTCTATGCAGAATATTTCATGCGAAATGTCATGCTGGATGAAGCACAAGCTGGAATCAAAATTGCTGCTAGAAATATCAATGACCTCAGATATACAGATGACACCACCCTTATGACAGAAAGTGAAAAGGAACTAAAGAGCCTTTTGATGAAAGTGAGACAGGAGAGTGAAAAATCTGGTTTAAAACTCAACTTTCAAAAAACGAAGATCATGGCATCTGGTCCCATCACTTCATAGCAAATAGATATGGAAACAGTAAGGACTTAATTTTGGGGGGCTCCAAAATCACTACAGATGGTGACTGCAGCCATGAAATTGAAAGGTGCTTGCTCCTTGGAAGAAAAGCTATGACCAACCTAGACAGCATGTTAAAAATCAGAGACATTACTTTGCCAACTAAGGTCCATCTAGTCAAAGCTATGATTTTTCTAGCAGTTATGTATGGATGTGAGAGTTGGATGATAAAGAAAGCAGAGCACCAAAGAACTGATGCTTTTGAACTGTGGTATTGGAGAAGACCCTTGAGAGTCACTTGAACTACAAGGAGATCAAACCAGTCTATCCTAAAGGAAATCAGTCCTGAATATTCCTTGGAAGGACTGATGCTGAAGCTGAAACTCCAATCCTTTGACCACCTGATACAAAGAACTGACTCACTGGAAAAGACCCTGGTGCTGGAAAGATTGAAAGCAAGAAGGGAAGGCAACAACAGAGGATGAGATGGTTGGATGGCATCACCGACTCAATGGACATGAGTTTGAGTTTGAGCAAGCTCTGAGAGTTGATGGACAGGGAAGCCTTGTGTGCTGCAGTCCATGGTGTTGATGCTGGGACAGACTGAGGCAAGAGGAGAAGGGGACAACAGAGCATGAGTAAGTTGAATGGCATCACTGACTCTATGGACATGAGTTTGAACAAGCTCCAAGAGTTCATGGACAGGGAATCGTGGCATGCTGCATGCAATCAATGGGGTCACAAAGAGTCAGTCACCACAGTGACTGAACTGAACTGAGTATTCCATTTATATATGTACCATGTCTTCTTTATCCATTCATCAACTGATGAACATTTAGGCCGCATCCAAGTCCTGTGATGCAAAAACCATTATTGATTTCTTAGGGAATATGTCCAGTGGTGTGCTTTCTGGATCATATAGTAACTCTATTTTCAGTTTTTTAAGGAACCTCCATACCATTCTTCACAGTGGCTGCATCAGTTAACATTTTTACCAACTGGAGTGGGTTGCCATTCCCTTCTTCAGAGGATCTTCCCTACGCAGGGATCAAACCTGGGTTTTGTGCACTGCAGGCAGACTTTTTACCATCTGAGCCATCAGGGAACCCACAACAGTGCATGAGGGTTCCTTTTTCTCCACACCCATCCAGCATTTACTGTTTGTAATTTGTTTTTGATGATGACCATCCTGACCAGGATGTATATTGTCACCCTGCTTATTTGACTTATATGCAGAGTACATCATGAGAAACCCTGAGCTGGAAGAAGCACTAGCTGGAGTCAAGATTGCTGGGAGAAATATCAATAACCTCGGATATGCAGATGACACCATCCTTATGGCAGAAAGTGAAGAGGAACTAAAGACCTCTATGAAAGTGAAAGAGGAGAGTGAAAAAGTTGGCTTCAAACTCAACATTCAGAAAACAAACATCATGGCATCCAGTCCCATCACTTCATGGGAAGTAGATGGGGGAACAGTGGAAACAGTGTCAGACTGTTTTTTGGGGGGCTCCAAAATCACTGCAGATGGTGATTACAGCCATGAAATTAAAAGGCGCTTACTCCTCGGAAGGAAAGTTATGACCAACCTAGATAGCATATTTTAAAGAAGAGACG